GGAGCTCCTCCACTGTGTCTCCGTGTCCCAGCAGCGGGAGCATTTGCATGAGAAAAGCCTGTAAAGTTTTCCTTGTGGTGGTGTAGCAAGTTCCGACCTGTGCCGTGTGTTGCAGGAAACAGCGGCTTGGGGAAATACCACGGCAAGTTCACTTTCGACACCTTCACCCACCACCGCGGCTGCCTGCACCGCAACATGGGCCTGGAGGCCCTCAACGCCCTGCGCTACCCGCCCTACAGCCAGCAGAAGCTGGGGCTCTTGACGGCCACCTTCGAGATCAAGCGCAAGGGCATGTGCACCCTGCTCTGAGGGCCGTCCTGCGCCGCTCACGGACTGGGGGGGACACTCCTGCTCCCCCCTGGGGAGCAAAACCACCCTCTGAGGGAGGTCGGTATCCTCCTCCCTCCTCGGCACCGCTCCCCTGTCCTTTGCCTCACTGCCACCTCGATGCACGTCGGACGGTGGGGACGGACATCTCCTCCTGCACTCTGGCTCCTCCCCGGCTGCCTCTGCTCCGCACCGTTTGCTGGGACACATCTGAAATGGCCAAAAATTCTTTTTCTCTCCCCGAACTTCTCTTCCCAGCGGAGAAACGGTCCCCGGGAGGCTGAGGACCGGCAGTTAGCCCCATCTCCCGTTAGACGGACCTTTTCTTCTGGATGAACCTCGCTCTCCCTCCTCTCAGTGCCGGCTGTTGCTTTTTCCTCCGTGTAACCCTGTCTGTAGTAAAGACTTTGCATTGAGCTCTCCCTCCTGGCGTTGCCTCGCGCCTCCATCGCCCATCTCGGGGGGGTGGGGGTGGTGCCGAGCAGGAATCCGGCCACCGAACCCCGGCCGGTGGTTGCCCAGACCCTCCCCAGTGTCCCCATCCATCCCACCGTCACCCTCGGCCACACCATTGGGGTTGTGTCCCCCTCCCGTGACCCGGTGGCTGGGTGGCAGCCCAGCGCCTCGGGCTGAATTTGGGGTGCGCTTTGCATTCCAAGTGGTTTGGGCTGGAGGAGAGCCAGCGGTGACGTGCGGCGGGGCGAGCGGCCAAGGGGCAGAGCAGGAAGCCGGTAACCTCCCTCCGCGGGAGGAGCAGGCTGCGGTGGGGACCGGGGGTGCTGCTCACCCGCC